TCTTTGCTTCTCTTCCTCCATATATTTTTCAATACAAGCAAATGCTGAGTTAAGGCTAAAAATCCCAAGGCGTTTTATTGAGGTAGATCTGAACTGGAGTCTATCAACCGCGTTGGCGAGATGGAACAGTCAAGACTGTTGGGGGGCGTATAATACTGGTTGGCGATAACAGCCGTCTCTCACATCTGGTGGGAATGTATTTTATTTTATTTTTTTTTATTTTTTTATTTTTTTTAAGTTTTCATTTCTTTCTTTTCTTTTCCTTTAATTATTTGTTTATTCATTTAGCAAATTAGGAGGGTTACATACTCCAGAAATGTTTACATTTCTGGGAGTCACGGTACAAGAGCGTTACAAGAACTTGTTTAGTTGGCCCTGGGGAATGGAGGAGATGCCAACAAGTCGGAAACGAGGTGGGGCTGGTCAGGCAAGATGTGTTTTCTTTTGCAATCAATAAATACCAGTAGCCGCTGGATTTTGCTTTGCGACACAACCCGTCAGGGTGTGTGGTGAAAAAAAGAAAAGGGTCTCTTCGTGTGTCTTTTTCTGGTCTTTTTTTCCTTTGAGAGCCTGTGGATGCTGAGATGGGAAAAACGAGTGGCGGTGCAAACTATGGCGCTCCGCAGCACTGTTACTGGTGTTGGGGAGTGGATACTTTTTCACAAGGCAGTATGCAAAACTCCTGCCTCACTGCTGCGGGAGAGGGCGTGACCTCAGAAACCTCAGATTTGTGCCGTTGACGAAGGAGTGAGACAAGCCATCTGGATTGTGAGTAACTGCGATGTGCAAGAGGAATTTTTCTTGGCACGGACCGGGAGCGCAGGGCAGCGGAAGGATAACAGGGTATAGTTACGAAATCATATGATTACTTTGCTCACAACCTTGGAAGGTCACTCGTCGGGCACCGGTCTGGTCTCCGCGGGTATGTTTCTAGAGGCCTGATGGAAGGGTGTTTGTTCATGGACGAGAATTCCCCGCGGGACCGCGGCACGTCAGAAAGATGATATGAGTCTTCGTCTACTTTGAGCCCTTGGCAGCGAACAATTCCAATCAAGTATCGGTTTTCGAGATCCCGAGTTTGACCACTCATTGGGCCGATCTTGAGCATTGATCCTCGTAATCTCCGCTGCCGTGCCGCTAGAAGGCCGCTAAAGTATTCTGGAAGATCCCCCGTGATCAAGGCGTCAAAGATCCCTGCATATTCAAGGAATCCAGCGTAGCATCCAATACCTGGAGTCTGGAGGAATGAGGCGGGAGCTTGCATCAACTCGAAGCAAAACCGCTGTTCGCTCACTACCAAATGGGAAAAGGATCCTGAGCCATATGCGCGATTTCTGTGACAGCTTATTGTGTCGGTTTCTCATCCCTGTTCCCTCGTAAACTAATCCCTCAGATCCCAACCTCGATAAGGGGCTTCAGCAGCCTCAGCCCTGATCGCTAATTTTCCCCGCCAATAACGTAGCTTAGCCAATTCCGAATAATGCTAACAGGCTGATCCATTTCTCCACGGGGAAACCAGTGGTCATCGGAAACCTTGAGGGGCCACCCTGGGGATCGGCACAGAGATTCTTTGAACGGGAAGAGGCCTATAATGCCCGATTTTCGACACATGATGCCGGGAGGCTTCGCCGGAAACCCGGACCGGTAGCCCTCAATAATGTTCCTGTCCACCGTGTGACTTAGGAAGCAGCAAGATAAAGTCAACTCACAGAATAGATACCCAACCATTGCCATTAATAAATTGGCCGGGGCCATGTCCCTGACCTGGTAGTAATAATCCACGAGATCAGGCCTCTCTGTCGCGTTTCTGGCTTCTGATCGCAGAGTTGGAAGCGGAACAAAGACGCCAAGACCTGAACAATCCATGGATCTAACGGGTCAAGACAGGGCTTGAAGGGTCACGGGAGTCTACCTTTAAGCCGCATTCCCAAACAGGCTAGGACCCAACGAACTCATCCCTCCATCGATCTCGAAGACGACTTGCGGGGGCCGAAACTCAGCTCAGGGGATATGCAGGTGCTAGTGAATAAAACAAATGCTAAGGCCCATTTTGAATCCATCCTTCCCTTATGACCCGCAGCATTAAGGGTGGCGATTGTTGCGGAAAAACAAATGTTTTTCACTTCAGGAAGAACCCGGTAAACTGCCAGCCAATCTACGGATGTCATCCCACTTGTGCCGAAGCCAAGCTGCACGACAGACTCCAAAATCTCAGACATCTGCACACCACCATGCCGTCGTACCTTTTACTTTCCCGGAGAAAAGGTACCCGATACATTTCCGTACTCCCCCCGGGCTCCCCCAGCGGGGGGGTGGGGGGGGGGGTGAATGCAGCTTAAAGGAAATACGAGCACTTCAGCCTAGTGGTGTGAATATTTTCAGCTCGTCTCGGTGCTTCCCTCTCTTCTATTCTCTTGATGCTTCCCAACAGAGAATTAGCTTCGCATTGGCAATTGTCTCTAGGGTATAGTTTTTTTTTTTTTTTTTTTTTTTTTTTTGTTATTTGTTTTTATTTTTATTTTTTTTTAGGTCGGATCCACTGTTCAGGGTTATCCTGATGTCAATAACTAGTTTCCATCAAATACCAAATTTCACAAACTAGTTTCCAACATAGTTCGGGGGAAGGAGGTGATATCATTTGAGTGCTCAAAACTAGGCTGCTGTTTGAGCCAATGGGATTGGCTGAATGGCCTTGCCTCCAGGCAGCGAAGGAGAGCCATAGCGAACAACGAACTTTGAAATTTGAGATATTTATTTATTTACTTTTCGAGCCTTTTCTCACGGCAAACTCGGGAGGATGCTGAAAGGATAATATCATTTGTGGAACGGGGTATTTTGCGATTTTCGTCTTTGAAAAGACAGGTTCGTTGCCTTGAAGCTGCATTGAAAAGCCGCTAACCTGGCAGGGTTAGACTAGGCTTGCAAGGCACCCCGGGGGCTGACTCCTGCCTAAATATAAAGAAAGGCACGAAGGAGACTGAGATATTTATCCAACCTTGCTCGCTTGAATTGATGCCTTCCAAAAAGAGATCTCTAATGCCACTGATCTAAAGATACAAAATATGAAAAATTAAAAATTTAACAGTAACGAAAAATCCTGATCCAAATGCAATCCTACGCTGTGCGGCTAATCAACAACATAAATGAAACGCAAAGGAAAAAATGGAAGAAAGGGAACACGCTCAAGAGACAGAAATGCATGGCAGCTGATGGACAAGAAAAAAAGAGCAGAAAACAAATGAACAAAACAAAATGTGAAAGCCTGATCATCATACATATCCAAAACCCAAATCGCATGCTCAAGCGCAATATAAAACCAAAATCGCTGAACATGCCCGCTAAAATGCAAATATATCGAAAGGTATGTCGGCCTGCCAACAATAACCTCTGTTAAAGGAAGACAGTTAGAATTTGGAGATCGCCAATTAGGATTTGTGAGAATGTACCATCTGAACTAAATGACTTCGTAACAGCAAATCATTACTTGACATGGGTGCAGTACCCGCAAACGTCATGGTTGCAATTCACGCAGCGGCCCTGGTTCTGGTAAATTTTGGGACCATCTCCGCATGAGCAGCAGATGTACAGATCTGTAGCACATTTGACAGTCGGGCCAGAAAAGTCTCTCAAAGTCTCCATTGTGGCACCAGGCAGAGGGAGAGAAGGGGTTGTGCAGGTATGGTAGTGGCAATCATTCGAGTGCGAGCAGTCCATTTCTGCGAGGGAGTTTTCGCACGCGGAAAAACTTTAAGTGTGCAGCGCTGCGCTGTCAAATGAGTCGTATGCGCAGTGG